GGGCGGCTGGTTAGTTTGGCTCGACCGACGCGGCCGCGGTGGCGCTGACCGCTGGGGATTTCCCAGCGCGTCTCGGAGGCCGCGCTGACGCACGGGCACTTCGGTGCCCAGTCGGTCATTCGAGCGGGCATGGTATCATGGCGACGTTGACAACGGCAGACTCGATGATGATAGTAGCGATGGTGGTGGCGATGATGACGATGACGACGGCAATGCCGATGACGGCTCCGATGCTGGTGGCGCCGATGGCGATGATGGTGTGCGCGTGTCGGCGATGAAATTTTGGAGAGATTTCGACATGCGCGCGCGGCTGGCGCGGGTGAGTGGCCCATGCGATTTTTATTGATTGGGGTCGCGCCCCCCCCCCCCCCAGCAAACGCGCAGGAGCGATCCCATGATGTCGACACGCGCGCGCGAAAGGGCCGCGTTGTCGTATTTGGTGGATCGTTGAACGACCGAAGGGATTTTGAAGAAGTCGCAAGAGCCCGCGCACAGTTTTTTGAACCAATCAGTCAGATGCGTTTTTTTTTTTTGTATGTTTGTATGTTTGTTGTCATTGTTGTTCGTTTGCTTGTTTGTTGCTGTGGTTGTAGTTGTGGTTATGGTTGTGGTCGCGTATGTTGTTATTGTTCCCAACCATCCAGATGTTGAGTCCTCGTTTTGAAGAGACGGTCCCCGCGTTCCCTCCTTCCCTTCCTCCTTCCCTCCTCCTCCCTCCTCCTCCTCCTCCCCCTCCTCCTTCCCCCTTGCGTTTCACCCACCCAGTACAGCGTTTCGTGGCCCCATAGGGAGCTCCACCGAAGGTCCCAGTGGCAGGGTCCGCATGCAGTTCCACTCCCACTTCGGCGCGCCCCTCACACGTTTCGTGGCCCCATAGGGTGCTCCACCCAATGCCCCGGTGGCAGGGTCCGCATGCAGTTCCGTTTCAATTTCGGCGTACCCCCCCCACGTTTCGTGGCCCCATAGAGTGCTCCACCCAAGGCCCCCGTGGCAGGGTCCGCATGCAGTTCCACCTCCATTTCGGCGCACCCCTCACACGTCTCGTGGCCCCATAGGGTGCTCCACCCAAGGCCCCAGTGGCAGGGCTTGCATGCAGTTCCACCCCCATTTCGGCGCACCCCTCAAACGTTTCGTGGCCCCATACGGTGCTCCACCCAAGGCCCCAGTGGCAGGGTTCTGCATGCAGTTCCACTTCAATTTCGGCGCACCCCTCACACGTTTCGTGGCCCCATAGGGTTCTCTACCAAAGGCTCCCGTGGCAGGGTCCGCATGCAATTCCACCTCCATTTCGGCGCACCCCTCACACGTTTCGTGGCCCCATAGGGAGCTCCGCCGAAGGCCCCAGTGGTAGGGTCCGCATGCAGTTCCACCTCCATTTCAGCGCACCCCTCACACATTTCGTGGCCTTACAGGGTGCTCCGCCGAAAGAGCTCCAGTAGCAGAGTCTGCATGCAGCTCCACCCACATTACGGCGCACCCCTCACACGCTTCGTGGCCCCATAGGGTGCTCCACCCAAGGCCCCAGTGGCAGGGTCCGAATGCAGTTTCACGTCTATTTCGGCGCACCCCTCACACGTCTCGTGGCCCCATAAGGTGCTCCACCCAATGCCCCAGTGGCAGGGTCTTGCATGCAGTTCCACCTCCACTCAGGCGCACCCCTCGCAGGTTTCGTGGCTCCAACGGATGCTCCACCGAAGGCCCCCGTGGCAGGGTCCGCATGCAGTTCCACCTCCACATCGGCGCAACCCTCACACGTTTTGTGGCCCCATACAGTCTTCCATCCAGGGCCCCAGTGGCAAATTCCGCATGCAGTTCCACCCACATTTCGGCGCACCCCTCACACATTTCGTGGCCTTACAGGGTGCTCCGCCGAAAGCTGCAGTGGCAGGGTCCGCATGCAGTTCCACCATTCAGTTCGGCGCACCCCTTCCACGTTTCGTGCCCCCAAAGGCCCTAGTTGCAGCGCCCGCACGTGGTTTGACCCTGCATTTCGGCGCATCCCACACACGTTTCGTGGCCTCACATGGGGCTGCACCGACGGCTCTGGTGGCAGCGTCCGCATGGCGTACCCATACCAATTTTGGCACACCCGTCACACGCGTCGTGGCCCCAGAGAGAGGTTCACCGAGGAGGATACCCACAACTGCGTTACAAACGGCTGCAAATGGTTGGAACCTTCGCCAGGATAATTACCAACCGTCCTGTGGTGTTGGGTCCTCGTTTTGAAGAGGCGGTCCCCGCGTTCCCTCCTTCCCTCCCTCCTTCCTTCCTCCTCCCTCCTCCTCCTCCCCCTCCTTCCTCCTCCCTGCGTTTCACCCACCCAGTACAGCGTTTCGTGGTCCCATCGGGTGCTCCACCGAAGGTCCCAGTGGCAGGGTTCGAATGCACTTCCACCTCTATTTCGGCGCACCCCTCACGTTTCGTGGCCCCATAGGGTGCTTGGCCGAAGGTCCCAGAGGTAGGGTCCGCGTGCAGTTCCACCTCCACATCGGCGCAATCCTCACACGTTTCGTGGTCCCATAGGGTGCTCCACCCAAGGCCCCAGTGGCAGGGTCCGCATGCAGCTCCACCCCCATTTCGGCGCACCCCTCACACGTTTCGTGGCCCCATAGGGAGCTCCGCCGAAGGCCCCAGTGGCAGGGTCCGCATGCATTGCCACCCCCCCATTTCGGCGTACCCCTCACACGTTTCGTGGCCCCATAGGGTGCTCTACCGAAGGCCCCCGTGGCAGGGTTTGCATGCAGTTCCACCCCCATTTCGGCGCACCCCTCACACGTATCGTGGCCCCACAGGGAGCTCCACCTAAGGCCCCCGTGGCAGGGTCCGCATGCAGTTGCACCTCATTTCGGCGCACCCCTCGCACGTTTCGTGGCCTTACAGGGTGCTCCGCCGAAGGCCCCCGTGGCAGGGTCCGCATGCAGTTCCACCCCCATTTCGGCGTACCCCTTACACGTTTCGTTTCCCCATAGGGTTCTCCACCGAAGGCCCCAGTGGCAGGGTCCGCATGCAGTTTCACTTCAATTTCGGCGCACCCCTCACACGTTTCGTGGCCCCATAGGGTGCTCCGCCGAAGGCCCCAATGGCAGGGTCTGCATGCAATTCCACCCCCCCATTTTGGCGCACCCCTCGCACGTTCCGCGGCCCCATAGAGTGTTCCACCCAGTGCCCCCGTGGCAGGTCCCGCATGCAGTTTCACCTTTCATTTCGGCGCACCCCTTCTACGTTTCGTAGCTCCCAAAGGCCTCCTAGTTGCAGCGCCCGCGCGTGGTTTGACCCTGCATTTCGGCGCATCCCACACGTTTCGTGGCCTCACATGGGGCTGCACCGACGGCTCCGGTGGCAGCGTCCGCATGGCGTACCCATACCAATTTTGGCACACCCGTCACACGCGTCGTGGCTCCAGAGAGAGGTTCACCGAGGACGATTCCCACAACTGCGTTACACACAGCTGCACATGGTTGGGTCCTTCGCCAGGATAATTGTTGTTTTTATTGACGTCGTTTGTTTTGAACTCTGATCTTTTTGACGAATTCTGGCCCCCGCGCGCGACGACGCGCGCGTGTCGATTTTTCCTGTTGTAAGGGGTTCTTGCAAACGGATGGTATTTGAGAATCGAGTGTGCGCGCATTGTATCATTTGACGGGGATGGGGGGGGGCTGGGGGCGATGACGGCCTGACTGGGATGGTGCGCGTTCATATTTGATGAACGATGGGGCAGAATCGATTGTAGAATGTGTTATCCCATGGGTTGTCGATAATTCTGGGGAGGGATCCTGATCTCTCTTGTAGACAGGAGAATGCATGCGGTTCAATCTCTGTGGTGCAGTTCATTTTGAAAGACTAGGAGTTGTCGGCCCTACTGCTCGTGCAACCATCCCACCCGCCCGCCTTCACTTCGCATGCAAGACGCATGCGGCGTCGATTGCGATGGCTGCTTGGTGATGGCCCGTGCATTCCCGCGCCCGCGCTTGCCCGCGCATGCTCGCGCGCGCTGCGGCCAGCTAGTTTGGCCCGACTGACGCGACCGCGGTGGCGCTGACCGTTGGGCGCTCCCCAAGGCGTCTCGCAGGCCGCGCTGACGCGCGGGCCCTTCAGTGCAGGCTGGTGACTTTGGCAGGCGCGGTGTCGTGACGACGTCGACAACGGTAGACGCGATGATCATAGTAGCGATCATGGTGGCGAACGATGACGATGACGACATCGGCAAGGCCAACGACGGCGCCAATGCTGATCATGCGCGTCCGTGGGGAAGTATTGGGGGATTTTTTCTCGCGCGCGCGGCCGGCGCGCGCGAGTTGCCCGCGCGATGTTTCTTGGCAGGGATCGTGCCCCCCCCCCCCCCCCTACCGTGTGCTCAAGGGCTTTCAAATAATTTCGACGCGCGACAGACCCGGTTGGTCGCATGTGACGAGTATTGTTGAAAGACCTGGTGTCTTTTTTTGCAGGAATTTGCAAGAGCGCGCGTGCAGATTTTTCTTTCGAGAGCTGATGCTGCAACACAAAGTGTTTTTGGTGTGTTTCGGGGCACTCCATTTTGAATTCTTCGCGGCACCTGACGTTGTCAAGAGATTTCAGGATGCGCGCGCGACGACGCGCGCGTGCACTTCGCTTCGTTCCCAACCATCCTGTGGTGTTGGATCCCCATTTTGACGAGACAGCGCTCCACGTCTCCTCACTCACTCCTCTTCCTCCCCCTCCTCCCCCGCCTCCCCCTCCTCCGCCTCCTTATCATTATCATCGTCGTCATCACCATCACCATCACCATCACCATCACCATTACCATCACCATCACCATCACCATCACCATCACCATCACCATCACCAACACCATCAGTGCCACTCGGGCTCGAACTCGCTGGGGAGCGAGTGCGCGCAGCCCCCCCCGATCTGCTCACCGAGTCCGATTTTCGTACTCCTGGCGGCACCGACAGTGAGCCTCACTGCAGAAGATCGGTTGTTTCTCTTGCTCGCTCCGTTTGCGACCAGCCATATTCTTTGAGATGGCGAAGAAGGCGACGAAGATCAGCGGGCCCGCAGCTCGCAAGACGAAGTTTGTCGGAATCATCCAGCAGGGCGGTGGCGATCGTGCTGCCGCGGCCTACAACGAGCTGATACACAAGGACCAGGCGGGTTTGGACCAGGTGCTGGACCAGACCCCAGAGGATAAGCAGTTGAGAGCCATCCAGAAGCTCTTGACGAAGAATAAGATCTCGTGGACCCACGAGCACCAGCGGCGCACCTCGGCTGCCGCTGCGGTGACCGACGGCTCCACGAACACCACGAAGGGCAAGGGCAAGGGCACCGCGGTCGTCGAACCGCAGCCCATGGCCCTAGACGAGCACGACTGGTCCATCCCCATCGCGCAGGCCCCCAAGAAGTTGCCCGACGGCACCTATGAGTCCTCCGTCTCCCTTCGCAGCATGGAGGATGCGGAGAAGTGGTGCATGGCGTTGCGGCGGCAGAAGGGGCCGCTCGCCATCCTGGCCATCGGCACGGGCAGTGACAACTGGGCCCACGCGAAGATCCAGATCCCTGTACTCAGGGGCCCTCACGGCACAACCAACCCGAGGAAGACCTTCATGAATGGCGTCATCTACCAGTTCGGCGAGACTGATGTCGCTATGAAGACCAATGTTGCGCAGCTCGGCGAAGCAGATGGCAATGCGACCTTCATGCGCATCACCATCCATGGGGCCGACGCGCTGCTCGTCAACCCCACCATGCATGAGGTTTTCAGCAGTCAGTTCAGCGGCGCTGCCCCTGTCGTTGTCGGCGGGCAGCGCAAGGACAATATGGGCAGCACACCCAACGAACGTTGGAAGACGGCCCGAAAGTCCGATGCGAAGATCTCCGTGGACAGTGGGCTACGCGATGTCATCAAGTCCACCATGCAGGCCATCTGCCCCGAGATCCCACTCCTCGACGAGCCCAGCCGCCTGTGGCGAGCAGGAGGTCAGGCAGGTCAACGTATCCTGGGAGCCGTGATTGCCATCCCAAAGACCCAGGAGGACGCGCTCCTCAAGTACTCAGGCTACCAGGGCATCACTTTTACTTTCTCTTACATCGGCGTCGATGCGGAGAAACAGGAGACCGACAAGAAAGATCCACACCGTCTGGTTCAACGAGACCATCTCCATGCAGGAGGTCTACAGTATTTCCAAATCCCACGAGGCCGCACTGGGCGTTACGAAAGGTGATCGTGGACAGTTCGGATTACGGGTGCAACGTGAACATCCCAAGGCAGGCGAAGCTGCTACTGCTGTACGAGGCTCAGCCACAGCTCTGGCCCGACGCAAATGGCGTATCGACAACATCCCGAGTGGAAAGGCCACTAGAGGGCAAGTTGCGGACGCTGCTCAAACAGTTGGGTGGACTGCCGACGTCGTCTACGTGGGCTTCGACATCAATGAGAAGACAAACTTCGCCATCGCGCGCTCCGACACCGAGCCGACCAACAAGTGCTGGAAGTTCGGCACTACCACGCCCTGGGTTGTCACCGAGGTCACCAGCGGGAATCACAGCCCCACCAGTACCTCAGCGGCAGCTCCTACGGTGGTCCTCGCCGCCTCCCTCAACACACAGCCACCACCTGATCAACCTACTGGTAAAGTACCTGCTGCACCAGAGGCTGCCACGCCTCCCTGGCTTGCTGCACTTCAAGGGAAGCCACCAGAGCAACCTGCCCCGCAAGGTGAGGCCGACACGCGGATGCAAGTTGAGCCTCGTGAAACACCACCTACCCCGGTTCCTGTCCGTCTCCCTGATGCTGAGCACGAGCGAATTCTGGCCCTCGAAGCTAGTGTACGTGCCCAAGCTACCACCAAGGCCGCTATGCAGGCGCAGCTCGACAAGCAGGCTAACGCCACCACCTCGCTCGGCGCCAAGCTGAACGACGTTGCTCACAAAACGGATGCTGCCGTCACCGAGATCAAGCAGGCGAGCGTGGCACTCAACAACACCATCCAGTTGAACCAGGCTCAGCTCCAGGGAAGCTTGGCTGCCATCCTCAAGAAGATGAATCTACAGGAGGAGCACGCCGACGCCCCCAGCAAGAAGACGCCGCGCACCACGCCACGCACCAGCGTCGATGGCAAGGACAGCAAGGACGACGACGAAATCTGAAGGTGCCCAAGGAAGGTCAGTCCCGCCTTTCGTTGGGAAGTACGTGAACGGGGACACCAATTACATTCGCTGGGCAGTGGTCTACACGCTCAAACTTTGGTGCTGCAGCGAGTGGGATGGCTGCAGGAATGAGCATCGTACCACAGTTTCGACCATGTCTACAGCTAGTCTGGGAGACTGCCGCGGTGACGACACGGCCGAGACTAACAATCGGGAGGCTCCGCCTCGATTCAACCACCATGTGCGAACGCGTCGTCTTAAGCGACATGTCGGGTTTGTCGTCATGTGGGTCCTGACGACTTTGCCTCAGTGTCATAGCTGCAGTCATCGCACGCGTGCGTATTCTGATTCAACCCTGGGTGACGGGCCTGGCTATCACAAGTTCGCCTCACTCAATGTGACGTCGCTGCAAGCGCACTGGGAATTGCTCACAGCTCTTGGCGACCGAGGCGTCGCCGTTGCAGCTCTACAAGAAGTGCGTCACACACCTCATCAACTCTCGGACCTTGATAAGCATCTCCATCGGCACGGGTGGAAAGCACATCGGGGCCCGCCTCTCTCTCCGGGCACGCGTGTTGTTCCTGCGCAGAATGGCAAGCATCAGTACGTGACCAAGGGAGTTAGCACTGAGCACGGGGGCGTTGCCATCGCCACCCCGACCTCTGAACCCATGGTTCCTACGGAATGCCAACACCCTGTCTAAGAACGGCTTCTGGCGACAAAGCGCTGGAAGGAGGTTTCCGTTCCCATCCCCAATCAGAAAGGGAAGATCACCATTGGTTATTACCTCGCCACCGTCTACGGAGTCGCTACATAATCTAACGAGGACCGGTTCGCGGACGTTTGGCAAGCTGCTGCTCTTCGAGGTACGGCCGCCCCTTATTTCATTGCCATGGGTGCTCAGTGCGACGTCGCCGAGTCGGCTTTTCTCAGCTGGGTTTCACAGGAAGGTGGCTGGAACAACGTCTCGAACGGATCCCCCGACCAGGGCGCCATGACCTACGGCCGCGACCCCAACTGGAACCGCTACGACCCCATCGAACACACCTCCAGGATCGACTACATCTTCGCGAATGACAGCGCCAATGCTATGGTCATCGACTTTCATATTGTTCGTGAATTCAAATGCCCTGGACATCTCGCCCTCGAAGTCACTCTCAACGTGGACGCCTTTGCTGCGCGAGTGCGACGGTGGGAACGACCGAAGCTCTACAACGTCTCTTACATCAGTATTCCACACGACGAACGTGAAGCACTGGGCGCCCACATGGTTGACCAACATGCTGAACAGCTTGCGTTGGCACAAGGCAATGCTGAGGATACTTTCGCCCTTGCCAGCAAATTTGCGGGGGATTTCCTGGAGATATGTTGTGATAGTCATGTCAAGAAGGATACGAGAGGGCGTGGCAAACCCCCACGTTTCGTGCAAGGGTGGGCCGCCCCACCCATCTCTCCACAGCACGGTGCTATGTCTCGCACAGAGTGGCAATACACCAAGCTCCACCGTCGGCTACTTGAACTAAGTTACCGTGCTGAACGCTGTGAAGCTCGTGGGTGCACATCCTACATCGACATCCAGCTCTACCACCAGCTCTGGGCCAACTGCTGCAAGCAAGTTCGACTTCTTCAACCAGTGTGTGCATCCTGGCCTGGATGGTGGACGCCCTTCTGCTGGCCCTCGGCAGCCCAGGCCCGTCACGCTGCTGCCCAGGTACTTGCTGAACAACAACGGTGCGCTGCAGAAGCCCAACGCCAGCGACTGCAATAATGGCGAACACGAATTTCAGCATCTTGTCAAAGTGGAGGGCGAGAGGTGTGTGCCTGGGTAAACGCGCAGACACAGCAACCCACTACCTTCCTCAAAAAACCCGACACCCAGGACATTATCTCCAACCCGCTCGACATTATCAAGCTGATGCAGCAAACTTGGGAACCGACCCTCTGCAAGTATCGTGGGACTTCAGAGGTTCCTACTTGGGAGGATTTCCGCGCCGAATACGCAGCTGAACTCCCCCCTGTGAGCCCCTGCTCTGGGCCTTCACTTAGTGATGCTGATGTCAGCGCTTTTCTCCAGGCACGCTCCTCTCGCAAGGCGGGGGGTCTTGACGGATGGGCGACGGTTGAGGCCAAAGCTCTGCCCACAGCCATCCAAGCCGTCTTCGCCGAGGCTCTTCGATCGATGCAGAATTCGGGTCAGGCCCCCTCGGCTTTCAAACATGTTCCGAATCCCGCCTTGAGGAAGGGAGAGGGGATTTTTCCTGAGGAGCAAAGGCTCCTTTCCGTTCTGTCCGTGTGGCTTTACTCTTGGGAAGTCCCGATTTACCGAAAGCTCGATCCTTGGAGGCGCAAGTGGAGCCACCCCGCGAGTTTTGGGGCCACGTCGGGGGCCCGACTCTCGGATGTCTCCACCAGTCTCGCCCTGCAGGTCGAGTGGTCCCGACGCACCGAGAACTGGGTCCACGGGCTTGCCCTCGACAGGAAGAAGTGCTTCGACCTGCTGATAACCAGTATATGCATCGAACTACAACGACACGCAGGGTGCCCCGAGAGTGTACTTCGAGTTCGTGAACAGTTTTATGCCCAGCATCGGAGATGCCGGCGAATGTCTGGAACCTACAGCGAAGCCATCGCCACCACGAATGGCCACTTACAAGGATCCGCATTCAGTATTGATGACGTTGAGATGCTCATGTATGTATGGACGGCGAGACAACACAGGGTAATACCGAGATCTCTGTCCATCACGTATATCGACGACTCCAACTCTACTGTGTGGGACATGGCTGGGATCCGTGAATCGCTCCGAGAATCACTTCTTTTTGATAAACTATCTGGACAGGAACTACACCTTGGGAAGCTGGTCGCCTGGACCACCGACGAGAACTCGGTCACTGAGATCGCCAACGCCGCGGTCTGTGGCCACAACCTGCCCGTCAAGCGCGCCTTCCGCCTGGTGGGCAGCCAGATCACCACCCGCGGAGGTGATGACACCAGCCTCATTGACCGCCACTTCGTTGCTGCAGTTCAACGACTTCAACGGGCTCAACGGCTTCCTCTACCTCTACACAAGCGTGCCGACATCGCGCAGACGATGGCGGCATCCATGGTTGCTGTGGGCTCCGACCTCGGTACGCCCTCCAACCGACAGCTGCGGGATTACTACCACGCCATGTTTGCGACCATCATGCCTAAGGGACGGCAGTGGACCTGCCAGTGGATCTTGCTGAGCGTCGTGCTGAAGGGCCATCTCCTCGACCCCATCACGATCCGCCAGAGGGTAGTCACCCTCTCGCTACGCGCCCCGAGGGGGCCCCTCCCGTAGGGGAGGGGTCGGGACCCTAGGGTCCTCCTGGCGCAGGCGGGGGGCGCCGGGCCCGAGGGGCGACAAGCCCCCGCACCCCGGGGGGCGCCGCCAAAGTGCGGTTTCCATCCCCCGGGGGGGTCGCCAGGTCCCGTGGCCTCCCCCAGGGCGGTGCTGGTTCCCCCCAGCGATCGCCGCCCTGGGGCGGGACCGGCGGCTCGTCTCTGTCGTGTCGTTCGTCCGTGTCGTGTCCTCGTGTCGCGTCGTTCGTTTCGTCCCCCTGTCGTGTCGCGTCGTGTCGTGTCGTGGCGGGCCGGGCCCCTGGGGTGGGTGGCGTGGGTTTGGCTTGGACTGGCCCCCCCCCGTTCTGTCGGCTGCCGGGTGTTTCCGGCGTGGCCGTTTCCGGCCGACAGAACGTGGGGGGAGGAGCTGTCCAGCTTTTCCCATGCTGCCCGCTTGCGGGGGGCCCGCTGGCGCCGTGCGCCACCCGCGCCGTGGGCGCCCCGCGGCCGGCCGCGCGCCCGCGCGCGGGCGCCCGCCGGCCGCGGTGGCGCGCGGCTTTAGTGCTGTGCACTCCCCCTTTCGAGGGCATTCCAATCCAATCCAACCCTCTCGCTACGCCGTCAGGCGCTGCGGGTGCCACAGCTGCGAGACTACGTGCGCGACCTTCGTGATCATATCCAATATGCAGACGCAGCCTACCCTGGTCCAGTGCGAACTTTCGTCAAGACGCTCAACCAGCTCAACTGGTGCTGGCCATCCTTCGACATCCTGCTGACCGACCTGGGCACCCCCATCGCGTGGCTCGAAGGCCACAGTGACTTTCTCATGCATCATCTCCGAGACTCCCAACGACGGTGGTTTCTACGTAAGGTGCCCACTACGCGCAACGACCTCGGAGACGTGGCTAAGCATAAGCACGGCATTGACATGGTTTCAAATTCTTGGCTCTTGCGAACACGCAGTCTCAGGCACCGTCTCACTAAGTGGCAGCGTGGTCTACTGTCTGTATTTATAGCCGGCGGCGATCACGCGCAACAGAGATTGCAAATATCATCAATCTCAGAAGACACGTCAG